GAGAACAAGTTAGTGTGCTGAAAGATCTAGCAAAGGGTTTCCCCTAAAATCAAGTACAAGGATAAACAGATATAAAACAAAAGTTTCAACATGTTGGATAGATATAGAATTCAGTGTTTTTTTCTAATAGGTATTTTAGAAGAGAGTCGAGGGGAAGAACTACATTTAGAGTAACATTTAAGAGAAATTTCCCAGAACTAGAAAAAAACATACTTTTAAATTAGTGAGATGATTGTACTTAACTAAAATTTTTGAGAAGCCTCCACCTAGACACCTAAAGAAGAAATGCCCTGATGCCAAAGATAAAGTCCTAAAAGTGTCCAGTCCTAGTAATGCTATGAAATAAATAGATTCATCTGGCAGAATCAGTCTGACATGACATTTCAGAAGTCTCAGTTCTCTAGAGATCAGTTGTACATCACAGAAAGTCCTAACTTTAATGCTATACATTGAGACAAACGTGCTTTAATTTCTTTGTTGACCATCAGAGACAGTCACATTTTTCATTGCCTTTTGTTGTTCTATGGAAGTAGCTACCTTGTGTCCCAGAAAGATCCTTGCACTCAAAGAACTTAATTCAATAAATAACATACATTATATATTAAAAGGTGATGAGTTCTGTGAAAATGGAAAATATCTAAAAGGAAAGAGATCAGGAGTACAGCGATGAGGGGAGAAGTGAGGTAAAATTTTAAGTAGGGTGATAAAAATAGGCTTCATTGAGAAAGTGACATTTAAGCAAAGACTTGAAGGACGTGAGGGAGATGTTTAGATACTACAAAAAGAAAGGATAGCCACGTAAGTTTTGTGAGGCAGGAATGTGTCTGCTTGGTTCTGGAAATACCAAAAGTTCATGTGACCACAAGTGATTAAATGAGGAAGAAAGTCTTAGAAGATAAAATCAGATCATGGGGCCAGATCATGGAGGTACTTCTGTGTTGTAAGGATCTCTGGGGACAGTGGCAGGGTTTTGATTAGATTTGATTATAGGAGAGACAAGATCTGAACTTGTCTTTGTCCGCCAGTAGTATATACTATGGGCACTTAGTTCCCCATCACGAAATATTTTTAGGGATCTCACTCTTTTCACACTATGACAACTAAATAAATTTCAAATACCCTTCATTTTCATCAGGCTCTGTTGCCTCCACTTCTCTTTCTATACCAGTTTTTCTAACAATTGGTTTTCTTTAGTCGAAAGCAGTAGAAGCCATAATGGCGAACTTAAGCAAAAAAGAAACTTATCAAAAAGGAAAATGGAATAACCAGACCTCCAGAAGTTCAGGAACCCAACATATTCCCAGTATATAACTAACAAAATTGACATTGGAATGACACTATTCTAACCATTAGGTCATTCTTTTGAAGATTTCCATTTTTACTAGTTTTGCTTTGAGTCGCATACCCATTCCTTAGGCCTTAGGACTAGAGGGGGAGTGAAATATCCTCAGGTACTATCCCCCACTTTTGAGAATTTATCCTATACATATATGTGTATTGTCTGTGAAATGACATGTACAAGATTATTCATTGCAACATTGTTTGTAATTAGTCATAGCATTGTATTTGTGATTGGTTCTAGCATTGTTTGTAATAGCAACCTGCCTACCAATATCTTAAGTAAACACAGATGTAGACAGTAGTATGGTATGCTTAAATAAGATTTACTCATCAGATTTTTAATTAATATGTGAAGTATTTATTGTTTTGAAGAATGCCTTGACTATTTTCACTTATCCAATCTCTATGCCTTCTTTGTATGTATACTTGCTAGATTTTGAGACATAACCTAGAATTGTTTAAGTATTACCATGTATGCTAGTACTAAGGTAACTTAGCATCAACATATAGTACATTCTTTGTATATGAGAAATTGGCCTTACCAGATGTTGAATGATTGTATTGTTCTACTACAAAGCAAGTTCTAAATATTAGGTGACTGATTTCCCCTCTCCCCTCCCAATAGCTCAACAGAGCATTTCAAGAGGAGGACTCTCCAGCTACTTTTTATTGTATCAGTATGCAGTGGTTTAGAGAATGGGAAAGTTTTGTGAAGGGTAAAGATGGAGGTAAGTGGTTAACTGAAAAATGAAATTCTTTGCAGATTTTTTGTTTATTTGACACATATTTTTTGAATATCTATATACGCTTGGGATTACACCAGTGAACAAAGAGAAAAAGATCCCTGTCCTCAGGCATCTTACATTCTCATTTATATTCTTATAGGAATTTTTAATTTTTTGAACCTGTTTCATAAATTATAACATTCATAACAAGAATAAAAGAACTAAATGAAATTAATCTGCAATCTTAAAGAGTTAAACAAAAATCCACCCAACAATAAATTGGTAAAATTATGGTTTATCCATTACAATGAAGTACTATATGGACTTTACAAATAATTTTTGTGACAGTATTTAGTAACTTAAAAATAAGATGTTCTTGACATATGAAAAATATTGCAACACAGTGTGCTTATTAGTTTAAACCTTTTGTATTAAAAAATACAGGCAAACATATGCAAAGGCAAAAAGACCACAGCTTGCCTATCTTTTTGTATTAAAAAATACAAACATATGCAAAGGCAAAAAGACCACAGCTTGCCTATCTTTATGATAACGAATATGCACTATATTTTTGTATGCAGGGGAAAACAGATAAGTTTTTCTTAAAATTAAAAAGATGCATTTTAACATTTCATTTTATAATGCTTTTATTGTTTTTAGTTTCATAATCTGAAACAAATGGAGAATTGTATAATTTCTTTTTAAATTACAAAGGAATTGTTTTTGTATAGCATTAAAAGTGCATTTTCACCTGTAATCTTCAAATCATTTCTGTTAGATTTTGGATGGCAGTGGGAAAGCCTCTCTCGCTTTCTTTCCTGATTCTGTTTTGGGGGAACTAAGACCCAAGAAGAAAGCAGCTCAGAAGACAGTTAAGAATTGACTGTCATTGAATTGACAGTTAAGAATCGGACTACAAAATAATCAACTTGATTATACAGTGACATCCTTCAGTTATTTCAGGCACAGAAATATGTAATTCTTTGATGCATTATTTGAAATGTATACATTTTCATTGTTTTTTCCTTTTAGATCCTCCAGGTCCTATTGATAACACTAAAATCGCAGTCACTAAATGTGGCAATGTGATGCTCAGGCAAGGTAAGTTTGACTAAATTTAAGCCTTTACTTGTTAATAATTTGTCACTGTTAAGAATATTTCATCACTAGTCATCTATGCCACTTTTTTTACCCAGCTCAATGATGTAATTAGTATGTGAAGTAGAACAAATAGTGGAAAAGCTGCCAGTGTTTAATTTTTATTTGAGGAAAGGTTTTAAGGCTATTGATAGGAGCTGGGAAAAAAGGATTCCTAACTCTATGACAGACCATAAAGTAGCAGCTTATAATAACGTGTGCTGGTAGTCTGAAGATTTGTGTTCCAAAAGTTCTCAATTATCCCTAGAGGATTCATTGGGGGGTGGGGGGGGGAGCTTTTGCAATATGAATTTTTAGATTTGTAAATATTGTTTCTATATACACTTAATTTTAGGAGCAGATTCTGGTCAAATATCTGAAGAAACATGGAATTTTCTACAGTCTATATATGGTGGAGGGCCTGAAGTTATCCTACGACCTCCAGTTGTTCATGTTGACCCAGATATACTACAAGCAGAAGAAAAAATTGAAGTAGAAACTCGGTCTTTGTAATTTTGAGGATATAGAGCGTAGTAACGACAAATGATTTTCACTTCCCCTGTCATATACACGTGCAGAAACATTCCTAAAAGCATGTTTATTTTCTCAATTTTTAATATTTTCTCTTTTATTCCTTCTTACTGGGCATTATGGAAAAATGTGTTAAAATGTATAATATACTACAGGTTGGTATATTTAATGCTTTAACCTATTATAGTCTTTCAGTGTAATATTTTTGAAAGAGTGATAATTGTAATCATTTGGTAATCAGTAGGTTATCTTTGATCTTTATACTACGTGCAAATCAATAGTATCCTTTGTAGTTTTGTAAATACTTTTGCTTTGAAAACTTTTTCATTACCCTAAACCATCATAACTGTGACCAGTCTTTTCAGTTCTCCAAAAACCTAATTTAATTGTATAGTTTTGACATGGCTTCATATAATAAAGAGCCTATTTTAAATTGAGAGTTGTAGTCAGATAAATGTTAATTTCCTAAAGCTCAGGAAACGTTAGGGTGTCACTTCTTTTGCACTGCGGCATATAAACTAGCATAGTAATATTTACAAAGTGTCTTTTTGAATGTATCAGGATGTATTTAGTTTGAGTGGAATTTGTGTCAGCAGATATCAGTAATTTATTGCCTCTTATCCTGTAAAATATTAAACTACAATTCCTATAACCCTGGATAGTATTCATTAATGTCTGTAAAAAATTTAGTTTTAGGGCACTTTTATTTTGAGAGCATGAAGTATGGAATGTGTCAATGAGATTATTGATAAAGCTGAAGCCATTTGCAAAATGATTTTTTAATGAAATGCATAGTCTTTTTGATTAATGTAGTATGCATTGCTATTTGCTTGATTATGTGATGTCAAAAGTTTAACTGTATTCCAAGTACAGAACCAAACTGGATTACTTTAAGTATGCTGAATAGCATTCACGATGGCTTTGTTTTAGTTGGGGGCAACTGCCACTAGCTAAAAGTGTTGTTAAAATTAGTCCAATAAAAATGGTTTTAAAATAACATGGATGTTGAATTTATTTGATAGATATTAATTGTGAAGGGTATAAAGTTTAGTATGCAAAGTAAGTCATTCTGAGTAGTAAAGTTTTTATGATTAAATTATGAGCATATTGATCAGCCATTAAGTTTATTTGAATTTTTGAAAAATGTATAGTTTTTTAGTTTTCTTCATAATTATACCTGTGTTCCTCTTCAAGGACTGAATAATGTTGATCTAAGTTGCCAGGGTTTAGTGTAATGCCTGACATTTAGGAGATGGTCAAAAAAGGTTTGTTTTTAATAGTGCTTGACATTTATTGAATATTTATGATACTTCAGCCATGCTACTAAACTGCTTAATTACATTTAGCCGTCATTACACCCTGTGATTTAGGTAGAGTGGCTTGCCCTAAGCCATACAGCAAATAAGTGGCATATATGGGATTCCAACTCCAGTCAATGTAATTTTATATTAATGCTCTTATTCACCATGTTATCTCCCAGTGAATTCTTTTGAAACAGACTATAGTATTAGTCATTTTCATTAATAGCATTTGTCATTGGGATATACAATATTAACAATACTGGTCTCTAAGAACTTATATATATAATTTTACATTTTAATCATCAAAGTACATAACAATATAGTAAGTAAAGTGGTAGCAGTCTCACAGACTCTCAGCCAAAGGTTGGCCATATGTGTTCACAAGTGTAGAATAAAAGACATGATTTCTCTGAGGAGGATTTTCTTGGAAATCCTTAAGCTGAGAAATAGAAAAATTGCAGTCAAAGGATAGTGAGAATCCACACGTATTAAAAGTACATTGATTTATAACATAAAGGTGATTAGTTTTTAGACTCTGGGGTCAGTTTGCTTATGTAGTTGACCGGTAGGCAACATGGATTTTAACTGTGTGGGTCTACTTATACTTTTTTCAATAGATACTGTAAATGTATTTTCCTTATGGTTTTCTTAACTTTTCTCTAGCTTTATTGTAAGAATACAGTATATAATACATATAACATACAAAATATATCAATTCCTTAGGATAGTGTACCATCACTCCAGCTCTTCCAAACCTTGTTTTTCACCTGGCTGCAGTAGATAACCTTACCTTTCTTTTGCTAAGACTGAGGAAGTTTAAGCTCCTTTGTTTTTCTTAATATTTGGCAACTTCTTTCTAGATTAAAGAAGCCCTTTACTTTCCCTGACTTCCTCTCTTCCCCCTTTAATTCAGTGTGCTTTTCATGACTTCTCACATCCCTCAGTACATTTTGAAACTTCTCCTCTTCATTAGCACCTTTTGCTGCCTTCAGATGTGCTAAATTCTCCCTTACTAGAGATGAGTGAAATGAATATTACCTAGACCAATCTACCACGTTTCTTCACTTTTTTATTGACAAACTTCATCGTTCTGCACTCTTTGCTTCCAACTTCAATATTTGCCCTTTTCAAATCTGTCTTCTATTGCCGCCCTGCTCAAAACAAGTTTTTTCTCTTATATGGCTTATTAGCAATCATTACTGTTTTCATAACTTTGGAATATGTGTGGTTAATTATATCAGAGTGAATTTCCTTGTGTTTTAAAACTACTCTCCTCTTAAAGGAAGGTGATCGGTTTGAATATACTTATTGTTTTAAAGGATCGTGCATGAAGGGATTAGGTAAGAAACTATTTCTTTAGGGAAAAAAATGAGCTATTCAAAATGATTTTAATCACACAACCATGACTAGTCACTACTAATGTTGAGTTCTTAGCAAATGTCAGGCACTAGCCTAAACATGTTTACAAATAGATTAATGTGCCCAAGTACATACAACTATTAAGTGTCAGAATTCCAACCCAGATGTGTCTTGATTCCAAAACCTATGTTCTCTAAGAACTCACAAGTAAATTTCCAGTTAGAAAATTCAATGACTCTTTCTGTGACAATTATATCCTGAAACTTCTCTCCCTCAACTTACATGGTGCTGCATTTTGTCATTTTTTCTTCCTGAATATCTGCCTATGTCTTTTTACCTTTTATTCTGGATGTTGAATAAATCTCTATCACTCTAACTTTGTAAATATAAATTGTCTTATTTAGAGAGCTCATTCACTCCCTTTCAGTTGTCACGCTTTTGAAATGATTCTTAAGTATATTTCACTATCCCTGTATCTTTCAAACTCTTCTCAGATTTCTCTCTGCTGAATATATCTACTCACATGTCAGTCACTTAAACCACAACAGTTTGAAAAGCAATACAGTTATTAGGAGTATGGGCTCCGGAGCCAGTGTGTTATTTTTGCTACAATATGCTATGTAACAACCACAAAAACTCTGGTATACGGTTATATTTTACAAGTCTGGAGTTCTGCTAATCAGGCCTTGGCTGATCTAAGCTGGGCTTACTTGTGTATATGCAGTCAGTTGCGGGTTGGCTAGGCAGGTCTTTTTGACCTTGGCTGGGTTCACTCATTTGTATTGGGTTGGGCTTATCTAGGAGGACTTCTGCTGAAATGACTGGAGCAAACTGGCTTTCATATGTCCTTCAGCAGGCTAACCCAGGCATGTTCTCTTGGTCATGGCAGAGGAGCAAGTTGTTTTCAAGTCTGTATATGTCCAAAGTAATATTACATTGGCCAAAGCAAGTTACATGGTAGAACTCAGAATCCGGGTGCAGGTGAGGGAGGATAGATTCTACTTTTAATGAGAGGAACTGCAAAGTCACATGGCAAAAAGTATAGATACAGAGATGTGAACAATTAAGGCCATTAATGCAATCTATAATCAAATTGCTTATATTTGATTACTGGCTCTGCCACTTAGCTGTGTGACCTTGGCAAGTTCTGTGACCTCAGTTTCCTCATCTGCTAAATGAGTACCTCCTTGGGTTGTTCTGAAACCAAATGCTTTAAAGATACAAAGTACACAGTAAATGCACAGTATAATAACGTGCCCTGCCAGACGCATACTCCTACAGTGCTTTTCATGTGTCACCAGTGGCAGTAAGTCCAGGATGCCAGTCCATCCCCCTTTATGGCTCAAAGTGCTAAGCAATTACCTCAATAATTCATGTCTGAATGGCAAAATTACAGAGGCATAATTACTTATAGCAACTATTCAGGTGTAGGTTAGACAAGCCTTTTGGGTTTAAGTTCCTTCAACTCTCTCACCCGTGTGAACTTCTGCTATGTGACCTGTGGACGCTGAAGTAGGAGACTGTTCATGACTAGAGGAGCAGGTGTAGTTCTCCTAACAGTAAAGTCAAGATTGTCAGGTTGAAGACTATCTTTTGTAGCCTAACAAGTCACCTCAAAACTTACTGGCTTAAAACAAGGATTTATTATTTTTCACAATTCTATGTGGTCTGGGTAGTTCTCCTTCATGTTGAGAGTCACTCATGAGGCTGCACTAAGCTGGCAGATAGGCTATACTGGAAGGTCCAAGAAGGCAATGGGTTTGGTGTTATTGGCTGAGACGATACATTCATCTCCATCAAATTCTCTTTCTATTGGATCTTAGCCTCCAGGGCCTCTCCATGTGGCTTCTCTCTAGGATAGCCTGACCTCTGTACTGTATGCAGCTGGGTTTCAAGAGGGTAAAAGAAAATGCTGTAGGCATTTAATGGGTTAGGATTGGAACTGGCATCCTGTCATTTCTGCCATGTTCTATTGGGAGGGAACTATGTGAGGGCTTAAAAATCAAGAGGCATAGTTTATTGGGAGACCCCTATATAACCATCTATCAAATTTGACCAGCCTGATAAAGCAAGGGAAAAGAAGCTGGGGGGGGGGGTCACATAATATTTGGTTGCCCCATTTTTAATGATACAAGGATTGATTAATGGGTTCGGATGGTGAGAACTTAATCTTTTCATTATAAAGTAACTGGGAAGGAGATTTAGCTTAGCTTTTTCACAGCTCACAAATGGTGAGGTTGTCCACGGAACTATCAACCCAAACTAAGTACCTATCTCTATCAATATGTGTTGGGCTTTATTTTCCTGCATGCGCAACATAGTTCTTTGATATGTTTTAAGAATATTTATTGAACACTGCTTTGTGCCTGACAGGTCTGAGGATATAGCAATGAGCAAAAGTCAAACGTCCCTGCCTGTAAGGATATCACTTCTTGGTGGCAGGTGACCAACACATAAGGTCTGGAACTGATAACTATCACAAGGAAATTCAAGCTGGTAAAGAGAGTATGAGCGGGGGTGCAAGTGTAGTCTTGTGGATAGAGTGGTCTGGGAAGTCTCAGATGTTGACCTTTGAGAAGGGACTTGTATTGCCTATTGAACGTTGACGAGTTAAAAAAGAAACCTGGAGGAAATGTTCTAGCCAGAGGGAACAGCAAACGCAAAGTCCTGAAGTGGACTGAGCCTGCGTATTGTAGGAACAGGCGGAAAGCCAGAGGGGTGAGCGAGGGGGCCCGGCTGTGCGGTTGGAGAGAGGTAGGCAGGAGCACATATAATATATGTATATGCAGATGTCTTCCTGGCCTGAGACTGCTTAGGGAGCTAGGGTGTACAGATCTCTCAAGAGGACACAAAGGGCAGGCTGAAGCGGATTTCCAACAAAAAGGATACTGGGACGCCTTTCCTCCAAGGATAGGACCAAGTTAAGACTCTCGCACGGGATGGACTGGGCCCTGCCTTCAGAAGACCAACCCTCGCCTGGGGGCAAAGGCGGACCGCTGGGGCGGACCTTGTCGGCCCCGGGCCTGCCGGCGCTGCACCGGCCGCGGATGCCAGCAGGCGGTGTAGTGAGCGCGCCAGCAGCCGCCGCCGCCGCCGCCCGCCCGTCCCAGCGAGGAGGAGAAAGGAGGGGACCGGAAGGAGCCGCTGGTGCTGCGGGAAGTGGCAGGAGCGGGAGGCGGGGACCCACCTGGAAGCGCCGCGGCGCCGCTGTCGACCTTCCTGCGGCTGCGGCGGCCACCCGAGCAAGTGCTGTGGCGGGGGCGGAGAGCGGCCACGGCGGCGGCACTTCCCCGAGTGGCCCGCGGCGGCCGGCCCCACAAGAAAGGTGAGCAGGCGCTCAGGGCACGTGGTCAGGGCCAGACTCCGAAGAGGGAGAAGGCAAGAGGAGGAGGGAACCCGGATCGGTTTGGAACCCGGATTTGGAGCCGAGTCCTTAGAGGGGGTGGGCTGGAGGCGGCGGCAGCGGCGGCGGCAGCGGCGACGGCGAAGCCCCCACGTGAGGCGGGGGTGCGCGCGCACGTGTGCGCGGGCGAGAAGGGGCGGGAGGGCTCTTAGGAGGGCAACGGGCGCGCACTCGCTCACTAGCGGCCCACGTGATGGGCACGCCGAGTCTCCCACGTGACAAGGAGGCTGGCTGAGGCTGAGCGATACGATGTTTGTGTGGTATAACCGTGGTCATCGGAGGTTCTAAGAGTTGTTTGCCACTTCTCTTTTCTAGTAGGGGAAATAAACGAATGTAAGGCAGAAGAGACTTCCTGCTCTTTATTGAATGTTTCTTAGTCCTTTAAGCACTTTTAAGGACCGAACTACTGCTTTTTCTGTACCGCCATGTTGGTTCTAGGGGGGAACTCGCGAGATGCTAGTGGGTTTGTGTCGCGAGATCGCTCGATTCTCGCGGGACCTGGTTGGCAGAGCAGTTGTCCTGGATGGCGGAGCCTTGGGTTCCGGGGGCCTGGGACCCGCAACTCTTTCTACCAGGCAAGTTGTTAGGGAGGGGCCGGGGCCGAGTGCCTCTTGGTGCCGGGAGACGTGCTGTGTCAGCTTCCTCTAATCCTGAAGGGAATACTTTGACCCCATTGAAGCGACACGGTCTTCCTCCCCACCCCCCGCGGGCGCTCCGCCACCTGCAGTCTGCATCCCTCAGCCCGGGCACCTTCTGTAATAGTTCCACCCCTGTCCCAACTCACTGGAAGTCTGGATCCGTGCTCGCGCAGACGTGATGATGCCATTGGATACCGTTCCTCTTACTTTCAAACGTTCTTGTCAGTTTCCCCCTTGTTGCCATTTTCTAAAGAATTTCAGACCTGTTAACCGTTCTATTGCTGTTTCTGCTGCAGTACCTTTCTTCACTGACCATTTTCAGACGCTTAAAACAGAGTGCCTTCCATTCTCTCTGGATATCATTTACTCCCATTTATTTGGCCGATGATAATTTCCTCATCACTCTAACTTTGTATTTACAATAACTTTTGGCAGTATTTGGAAGGACCCCTTATGTCTCTGACGTCACTTGATGTCAGAATAAAATTGTTTTCATTTTTGTACGTACCTATTAACTCAATTGTCGATAAGCTTTTGATTACTATTGTGTTTCGAGGTTGCCATCTTTGATGTTCAGGGATGGTAATTTTAGGTTACATATTTAAGGTAGTGGAATGTTTTAAGTGAAATTTTAAATTTTAAACTTCTATTTATAAACTTTGATAACAGAGTTTGAGTTCAGTATTTCTTAAATTAATTCCATCAAATTAATTTTTCTCGAACTCTGTCTTACCAGAAATTTGCAGTAGACAAAAATATTCTTGAGCACTGTTTGGATTTTTTTATATTCCTTGTGGGGAGTTAATTACTAAGCTAATTAGATAACCAGGTAATCCAGTCAATTTTTTTTTAAGTTACAAAAGTTATTTGTCTCTACACTTAATACAGAGTAGTATATATAAAGTAAAAGGCTCCCTCTTACTTTACCAAGTTGCCTTCCTCAGTCTTAAATCTCTGTGCCCACGCTTAGTGGTAGCTTTGTATTATTTCAGATATTTTCTATGTATTTTTTTTTTTAATGAGAAGGAAGTGGAGTGATGTTTTAAGATACACTGTCACAACATTAGCAATTAGTAACATTTTTCCAACTCAATTAAATTTTTATTTCGTGGTGCATGCCTATTGTCTTGACTCATGCATTCTTGCTTTAAATTTCTTTGTGCAGATTTTTGGGTGGTATAGTTTTGTGAGAATTTCTTGAGTAATAGCACTATTATTTTTGCACTAGAGATTTAGTATGCTGGTAGCTTTGTATACAAATAAAGTTCATGTAAAATTTTAAAAATCTATTTTATAACTTTAGTTTTATATTTTTATGTTTAATATTATATATTCACACTCGTTTTCATGTTTATATTTTTAAACATATATTCTAAATTTTAACCCAATTATGTGTATAGGAGTTTTTACAGAAGTTTAAAAAGTTATCAGCTCAGTGAAAGTAATAGTTCTGACCATGCACTCTAGTGAGCTCAATTGGAGAGTGGTTGATATATTAATAGTTAGTATAAACGTACATATACTCAAAAGTTGCTAAGCAGCATTTCGTGATTGTTGTTTTTGTATTTTTCCTCCCAAACCTATCAGCATTATTTATCAGACCTGTCACATTAAAAACAAAACAAAACAAAACAAACACACTCTTTTTAGGCAGTGTGGTTTTCCATTGTAGTAGGTCAATTAGGAATGTTGGGGGATAAATTGATAACCGAGAGGTGTGATGTGGGAAAGAGGAAAAGGAGACATGTATATAGGTTGATACTGAAATGGAATTAGAGAAATTGCGGAGAAAAGGATGGTAGAAGGTTGACAGAGCCATGGTTCAGAAGAATAGGCACGCTCATGATGGTTGGAGGGCAATGTGAGTTGACCAGAATTTAGGATTAGTGTTTGAGGCGATTTTTTTCTGTTAAATAATTTTCTTTTAGACAGCTTTCAGTCCTACCCCCAAATTGCTTGATATCACCTGTCCTAAAAAGTCAGCAACTGAAGTTGATATTTAATTGAAATTATACTTAGGTATAGCCCTCTTGTCAAATAACATTTGAGTACATTTTAATTATTTTTAGAAGTAGGAAATTGTGAAAATGACAATGAATTCAATGAAGTCACTGTTCTATAATGGCCTTTGCAAAAGTATTTACAAAATTTTGCTTGGTGATATGGCCTTTTGTAGTTCATGTGTGCATCTGATCCTTGCAATAATGTGTGTTCCTTTTAGAGCTTTGTTTTATAGACTTTTTGGTAGCAGATTTTGGGAATTACCAGTCTGTGAAAGACTATGATAAAGACTAGTACAGACTAAATTATCTAAAGTACAGGGTAGAGATATATTGAGAAAATCCAAGAAAGAAGAGAAATGTATCTTACATGATTTGAGTTTGCTTGAGTAAAACTTGACCAAGAAATTTTATTTTCCTTTTTCTCAATTATTACTGTCGTAGAAGTGGTCTATGAGTACTAATTAGCTTCTGTAATCAGAGAAAATGAGTAACAGTGATAATATACTGATTTGTCTTTGCATTTTTCTTAAAGTCTAACACAATGCTAATTTCCATAGATCTGTAACGTTGTAAACGATACAGTGTAATACTATGTTACATCTTAATTATATCAAGAATATAAATTTTATTTCTTACCTCTTCTTGACAGTGTCCTCCTAGAGGAATTACAGTAAATTGCTTGATCAGAAATTTCAATGAGAGTACGTTACAGGTGCTTTTTTTTTTTTTTAATCTAATTTCATGTGAAAATTCAATCTGGATTTAACTGCAAAGAATATTTGCCAGAATTTTTGATTTTTAAAGTAGTAGTTAATACAGATGTGGTACACCCTGTGTTGTAAATTTCTGTAGTTAATACTACAATAACCACTGTAATTATATTTTTAAAAAATTGTATTCTAAAAACCACTATTAGTAAATATTTTGCAAAGTCCTAAGTCTTGACTTATAAAACCATGGAATATGGCCTTTCATTTTATTTGAATTTGTCCTCACCTCCTTCTGTTTTTTTTCTTTTTAGCTTTCTCATTTATGTAGGTAATTTTTGTCTTGTCAGAGACAAGTGAGTAACTTTCCCTGAGGAGATTATCAAACTACTACATATTCAATTATTTTATTATTATTTTTGGAACTACAGTATGTTTATAAGTTAGTAATTCAGTCCCTTTTTGAGTGCTAGTGATGTTAGCTAAAACAGCAGAGATTGAGACTTCAAAATAACTGTAACCAAATACAATAATTCTGTGGTCTTTATTCAGAAATTACTAATTGGAGTAAATAACTTTAAATTTTGCAGCCCTGAGAGGGTTGATTATCTGATTTTTTTAGCCCACAGGGCTAATTCATAGGGTTGGCCATTGGAGTTAGGCACACTGACAGCTGAAATGTCATTTTATATCAAGTGTAAAGGAAGAAGAGCTATTAAAAAGAAGATAGGACTATAGAAGTTAATAATGTTGAAAGGTCATTACATAGACAGTGTTATAATCATTAACTTCCTAGGGACTCACAATATTATAAAGAAGTATATAGTACGTGATGTGTCACAATGATGACCTTAATCATAAATAAATTTTTATTCTATGTACTGTGAGGAAGTAAGAAGTTGGTATCTTTTAAAAATATTATGAGTAAATGTTTTTCAAAGCCTTATTAATGCTTTTCAGTTTTCTAGAAAACTCATTCACAGAACTTATGATAACAAAAATGATGCCGTTGTATATAGAATTTCCTTTATTTTATTGCCTTTATTTTTGTATTTAATATTACCTCCCAAATAAGGCTCTATTACATGTACCATTTGATAGTAATAATTAACCAGTTGTTTAAAGAGTATAGAACATTTGTTGATGGACGAATTTTCAGAGCAGATAATTAGACTTAGTAAATATCCTGTCTGTGTGATTCAGTTTTATAGTTTTGAACCTTGATATGGAGTCTCCATCCTTAGCACACTGAGTGTCCTGAG